TTTATGTAACATTTTGTGCATAAATTTCGTATTATGTTGTAGAGTCATTAGGTTAATTGGAAGCGGAAAAGATGAAAAATATGCAACCGCCTTCGCCGGGAATCGAACCACGGACCTCTGGAATACCGGCCCAGTGTGCTACCGTTACACGAAGGCACGCTAGGGAAGTGGGAGAAATACCTTATATACTCCCCTTTTTAAAGGGCGACTAGGGTTTTAGGGGACATAGTCGCCAAATCCTGGGTGCGGAGAATCATCATCCACAACCCTTTTAGTTCGGGCGCCATTTGTAGAGTCATTAGGATATTTTTTTTGGAAGCAGCCAAGATGAAAAATTAAGAATGCTTTCGCCGGGAATCGAACCACGAACCTCTGGAATACCGGCCCAGTGTGCAGAACCACTACACCACGAAGGACGCTTGGAAAGTGGGAGAAATACCTTATAATGTAATTAAAATATTAAATCTTGTAAAACCATAAAAGCAATTTAAATAATAAAGTTAATCAAAAAATTAAATTTATGCTGTTAACTATAAATTTTCAGTTCCTAAAATTAATGCCTTTAATTTATTAATTAACTGAAATTAATGCTTTTAATTTTAATTAAAAGCACTAATTTCAGTAATTGAAATGTGTTTATGTAATACATGAAATTAAATGTAATTAATTATCAGATGTAATTAAAATTAATTAATGTAAATATATAACACGTAATTAAAATTAATTTTTTTTTATTATCAAGGGTATCCTTGATAAGAGTAGGGTCCTTTCTCAAAGGTATCCTACAACTTACGTGAATTAAATAACATAAATATTCAGAAACTTCGAGTAAACAGTTTATGTTTAATAAAAGCATGAAAATAATGGAACATGCACTATTTCGTTGGATATCCTTTAGCTAAAATTATCGTTGGATATCCTTTAGCTAAAATTATCGTTGATATCCTTTAGCTAAAATTACACTTTTCATTCACTTTGCATGGATTTTGTTTTCATATGAGAATGCTCTATTTCGTTGTATTTCTTCGTAAAAATTAGTTTTAGTAGAGCCTTTTTAGAAGAAATTTCGTGTTTCCTTATCCTTTTCTCCAATCTCTTTATAAATTCTCTTTATATACACACTATTTATATATTCGACAGAATTTAAGTCCGGTATATATGAAGGAGTTTTGACAGTTTCAGGATAATAATCACAAGCGAACATTTAGGGCTGTATATTTAGGATCGTTATCCTTATGGAAGATTTCATGCAGATGCTTTATGATTTTCATTAAGAATATTACATGTTTATACTAATCCATATTATTTTCTAAATTTCATATCCTAAAGGCAGCGAAATATCTCTATCATACCCCCACAACCTCGTACTTAAAATCAGACAAAAGTTTTTTTTTTTTTTTTTTTTTGTATTCAATTCTTTATTCGATTTTTCGGCACATAGTAATTTGTCCATCGGACTCGAATGTATTAAATTTCGACTTGTCTGTAAATATAACATTTTTCCACGTGCTAAATCTTTGATAATCGTGAATTTATTAAAGTTCAGCATATTTTCCTTGTTCACGAAAAATTTCCATCTAGCTGATTGCCCATTGTATCTATATACCCTAATAACACTTTATCAGGGTTAACCTTTTATTGCAGACCTTTTTCGAAATCCAGTGGAAATTTTATAGCACTAATTATTGGATCTTGTTTAATTTTTAGTATGACAAATCTCATATTCTTAAGTGTTAGCTTCAAATGTTATCCACAATTCAGTGTATTTTCACAGTTAAATTTCATCATTTTCTGGTATTTTGAAAACGTTTAACATCTTTAAAATGATGAATAGTTAAATTTTAAAGAGAACTTGTTGTTAAGTTTCAGTTTCTTGTCATGTTCACTTCAGATGTGGAAATGCTAATATGTGCAGCTAAACAATTAATAATTCTCAAATGCAGACGATAATTCTTGTAATATATTTATTTAAAACAAAAAATTGTGAAAAGAAATATCGTATGCAAAACATTTCAACAAAACTTCCGAGAGTTCAAACTACTTTGTGAGGTACTGATTAAAATATATTAAATAAATTATTTTATTATAAGGAATATTTTGATAACATTTGTTTCGTAACAAGAAAGGCTTAAAATATATCCAAAAAAAAAAAAGCCTGGATTCGATATTGCAATATTTAGCACGACCTACGCAAATAAATTTCAAAAATACAAGTATCTGAAAACAAATATGAGCCACTGCATATTTAGTGAAATGCATAAGTATATTTAATTTTTTAAAATAAAAATAAAATTTTAGGCAAAGCCTTTAATTGGAAAAAGAAAAGAAAATATCGTATTTTATTGAAATAAAACAGAAATTTCTTGAAAGCTATTTTTTGTAATATAGAAGGTCGTTCGCACTTTACAGAAAAGATTTTATGTTTGATATTTAATTTCTGGTTAGCACCTTGAGATAAAGATTTGGCATTTTCAATATAATCATTTGCTATTGTTTCGTTTTGACTAAAATGGAGAATAAGAGATTTATTTTGGAACTGGCTCCTATAATTGATAGATGAATGAAAGGTTTTGAAAATGTATTTTCTGAGGAAAATTATTCGTATCAACAAATTGAAAATAAGTAAAATAATGGAGGTTTCATTTCAAAGAAATGTGTTTTTAATACATGAAATTTGAAAGGAAGATAGTGTCTAGCTGAAAGAAAAAATGGAAAAATAGCCGCAAAATCACATTTTAACAGCGCTCGAACGCGGGTAATTAGAAAGAAAATGCAGTCATACACTGGTGTGCAAAACTTAAGCAACAGGTATTCTTTTTGGTATAACTCCACAAGAAATCATCTGAGATACATGAAATTCAGAATTAAGAGACAGCATTTTGTATTTAAACGATGACGAAAGCATAATTGCTCTAAAAATGAATACAATGCATACAGTATGGAATCAAACAAAAACAGGCTTTATTGAACTCATCGTTACACATGATTGTCTGTACAAGAGGAAGAACAACAAGCAGGTGTTCCTTAGTATGGGATATGCCCTCTCCTTGCTGCAATGGTGGCTTCGAACGGTCTCGCCATACTCAGTACCAGATTTTCCAACAGATCTTGAGGTAAGAGTGTCCATTCCTCAATCAGCATCTGTTTCAGTTGTTGGGTGTTCCCCGGACGATGTAATCGTGTCACAAGCGTCTCCCCAAAGCACTCCACACATGTTCTATGGGGTTTAAATCAAAGAAGCACGCTGGCCAATCGATTCGAGTGATATCTCCACTTTTCAGTAGCTTCTGAACAGCAAGAGTCCGGTGTGGCCGCGCATTGTCATCCATAAAAACGAAGTCTGCTCCAATGGCACCTCGGAACAGACGCACACGGGGAAGAATCACCTCCTGACGATAGCGATCTCCGGTTACAGAACTTCTGCCGAAAACGTGGAGCTCCGTCCGCCCGTTCAGCATAATGCCTCTCCAGACGAGATTTCAGAACACCGTAAAGGTCTCTTTCCGTAATGTTACTGAGATTAAACCGTGTCCCAACCTCTCTTCAAATCAATTTGTGTTGAGAATCGCTTGTGGCACTAAAACGATTCTCATCCATTAGGAGGATACGACTCCATTGATGAGATGTCCAGTTTTTGTGCTCCTTGCACCACTGTAAACGGTGATGAGATGGCCAACTTTCAAAGCGATGCAGCGTTCAGAACGGCAGGTGCATAGGCCACCTTTGTGAAGGTGTTTGGACACAGTAAACCACAACAATTGTCGCCCGTTGCTGTTCACAGTTGTTGAGCTGTGGCGCTTGCTGACTGGTTTCGGACTCTTTTAGTCTGCAGGACTATATATCGGTTATTTACTGCAGTTGTTTTTCTAGGACGGCCACCACCAACCTTTCTAATAGCTGTATCTATCTGGAAGGCTTTCTAAACGCGCGAAACGCCACTTTGTTGATTCCGAACTCTTCAGCTATACTGGTCACACTTCGCCCCTACTCCAGATTTTTGATCATTCTTCCACGTGTGAAGTCATCCAGATCATTTCTTCTAGCCATATTTCACGAAAGAACTCCTTGTACTTGCAGCGAATGTTTTTAATTGCATCTCCATTCTTCCTTTCATGGTAATCTCGAGTTGAGCGCGCCGACCGTACGCGTTTTGCGTACGCTCACGTAGCCTGTGACCTTTTTTCTCTTGACATCTGCATACGCTTTACCTTTCTACTGAATTGTGTGTTCATTGTACTGAACGCAAGAACCCCTTTTCTACAATTTCATAGCTTTCTGATTAAAATTTTCATTGTTGCTTAAGTTTTGCACACCTCTGGCACTGAAATTTATGTGATTTATAAAAATTTGAAATTAATTAAAGTATTTAAGAGAACATATGACATAAAAACTTTCAAAGTTTCAGTTTTGGGCTAAAAAATTAAGTATACTGAGACAATTCTAAAAATATATAATTTATGTGGGTTTCAAAATTTTAGAAGACCGAAATCTTTTATTACAAAATGTAAAGAAGCATTACTAAGTCCACCAGTTTAGAAGCGACAGATGTCTGGAGTGGTCACAATAAATCAGCCGGTAAAAGGTATGTTCAGCCGGTAAAAGGTATGTTCATAAGCATTCTTTGCCACAACTTATTTTATTAGCTGTTAAAAGTGTGTTTATAAGTCTCTCTGGCAAAAACCTACGGTCAAATTGCATTCATGGACGAACTCAAAACCCGAATGAAAGTTGTAATAATTGCATCTGGACACGCATACCAAAACTATTTTTGTGACTGTCATTATATTAAAACTAGGTTTGTTAGCTGCGATAATATCTTTTAATGATGGTGTACCAAACCACAATAAAGTTATGAAATTATTAGGAATACAACCAAGATTTTATATGGTAAATTCTTTGCGAAAATTAGATTGTGATAGAATTAGTGAGGACCATCTCGTTTACCAAAAGCTTTCTAAAATGGCCAGAAGGAAATATAAATTAATATATTCTGTACTTACTTTAATTAATCTCGTAGCTTTTTTCCAGCTTCCATCAACATAAGTGTAAGCAGAGAAAGGTCGGAACTTGGATTTGTATTCCGTCTTTTTTATCCGGCCTCTATGATAAGAAAAGGGAGAGAAATAATGAGTATATAATATTCGAAATAAAACAAAAATCATATCCTATAATAAATGGTTGTGAAGTACATTGAATATTAAATACATAAACACAGGCAAGTCATAATGGTCATCAAGAATTTAGTACATCAAGACCATTACGTCATAGAAGAAAGATATGAAATATAATAGATAAGAGATACGTCGAGCCTCTTCAATTATCTAATCGCTAATGAAATTATAATGTTTTATATCTATACAAATCCACGCATCTTGAGAGGATGTCATCCTGATTTGTCACCTACTTTTAGACTCGAATGATAGCCGTGACAATGGTTTAAGTTTCTTTACGCCGAGAAGGAAAGGCGCAAATATCTGAACTTTAATAAAAACATTCGCAAAATAATTCATAAAGCATTACATTTAATGATGGAAGTGGTCGATAATTATCCTTTGTACGAAGTTCACTTTGACTCTCAAACGGGCGTCCTCCCGAATGAAAATCTGATTAGGGTACGATTTAAATCTTGCTGTAGAAACTTTGAAAAATATGTATTACACTCATGTCCATAAATTAAGGATAATGCAAAAAATCAGGCAAAGGAAAAGTTAGAAGCAAAACAAATTTGACTTATTTGTAAAGCTTATTTATTAAACAAAAGGTAAAGAGCAAAAACAGATGCTATATGTTTGATATTATTAAAAAAATTAGCGATTTTTTTTTTCTCCCTGGAGCAAATTACCAAAAAAAAAAAAAAAAAAACTTATTTACAAAAAACCAATATTACATGGTTGGTTTGATTGTTAATACATTGTATGTCTCCCAGACGATGCAATACAGTCCGTACAACGCCTAGGCATCTGAGTATCAAATTATCGATCTGATCTTGGGGGATATTACATCACTCAAAAAGCAATGCACTCCGAAGTTCCGGTAGACATGTAGAAGGAGTTGACGGGCTGCAACTCGTCGGCCAAGCATGTCCCACACGTGTTCTACTGGTTCAAGTCTGGTGAGAATGCTGGCCAGTCTGTACGGGTGATATCCTCCGATTGAAGGCATTCGCTTACGATATTTGCACGGTGAGGACTGGCGTTGTCATCCATAAACAAATTGTGTGCCCATGGCACCCCGAAACAAATGTACATGTTGTTCCAGAATGACGTCCCGATAGATATGGCTTGTCATGATTCCAATTTGAACATGAAGGTCAGTTCTGGAACCCAGAATAATTCCACCCCAAACGAGCACTCCTACACCACCGTAACGGTGTCGTTCAATGATGCTTTCTTGGTGGTAACGAATACCTGGAGCTCTCCATATGAAAGTCCGGCGAGAATCAGACTGCAAGCTAAACCTGGACTCGTCGGAAAATCACACACACAAGCCCACTGTTGCGGTGTCCACAGTGCATGCTCTCTACTCCAGGCTAACCGCAGGCGACAGTGAGTTGCAGTAAGTGGAACGCATCTGACAGGTCTACGAACATATAAACCAATCTGCCCTGCCCTAAGCGTCTGTACACGGTCTGCCTTGAAATTGTCGTACCAGTGGCTGAAGAGAGCTGACGAGGCAGGTCTCAGGCTGTGCTCCACCTGTTTGTTTTGGCAGTAACTGCCAAATACCGGTCCTTATTCGGCGCTGTAACTCTGGGGCGACCTGTGCTGTAACGTCTACTCACATTACCATCATCTGGGAATCGTTGCCAAAGCTGGAGATGACACTCTGGGCAATTCCAAGTTTGTCTGATACTTCCAGTTGGGTACGCCCACATTCCAGACGGCCGATAATTCGTAAAAAATCATCCAAATGCGTCCTTTGTCGGTTATTGCACTGAAATGCTTATAAAGTGCCTGCGAACAATTTTACTTCTTTGCCTGTATTCGTTATATATCACTTTCTTACATTCTCGTCATTGTGAAGTACCATCGGTGTCATCTGGTTACTTCCTAAAATTTGCATATGATTCTTGAAGATGTGTGTTGTGATGTTACAGGTGATATTTTATATTTAGAGTTCGATTTCCGCGTGACTCCGAATTATCCTTAATTTATGGACATGAGTGTATTTTTTAACGCTTTTTTCTTTTTCAAAAACCAAAAAGCTTAGAGAGGGAGGACTTTTTTTTTTGATTCTGAAAATCTATTGAAATAATGCTTTAAAAATAATAATCATGAATAAATGGGCGCAACAGCTATAGCACTACTTATTTAGTAGAAAAATAAGAGAATTAAAAAAATATGAGACACGGCTTTAAAAAATTTTGAAAAGGATTTGACTGAACTAAAATTAATTAATTTTGACAGATTTTGATCACCTTGATAGGCTTCAAATATGTAATTCGTCAATACAAGGAAGTTAATAAGAAAGTCTCTATCATTCATATACATACTTTACAGCGTGCAGTAAGACTGATATTGATACTAATTATGAAATGCATGCTTCGCTTTCTCTAAGATCATTAAAGTTTTCTCGGTCAAAAATCTCAGCATAAAAAAAAAAAAAAAAAAAAAAAAAAGCAAGAAACGTCCAGAACATAAAACATGTAAATGTAAACCAAGCGCCTACATTTAACTAATTTGATTTGGTTATATTTATTTTAATAAATTTTTTCATCTTATTTTAGAGGAAAGAAGGTTAAAATAAAAGAGTGGTTAAGAGATCAATCATGATTAGCTATGGGAGATTAATTAATTTCTTCTTTTTTTCAAAGCAGTTTCTCCTTTTTGTAGAGTTTGAATTGATGTGCTTCATTTTTACTTCCTTGTACGAAGTAAAGGAAGTATTGTAATCACGAAAAATTCCGCGTATAATATTTCAAAGGAAATATCCATTTTGACCACTGCCGAATACAACTTAACGATGCTTTTGCGTGACATCTGTACGTAAGGAGAGAATAAAGGGTTTTTACCCAAATACATTATAAAACTGACTTAAAATGGTTTCAGAAGAGATTTTTTCGTGGTGTCGCACATATATATGTATCTCGCATAACTCAAAAAGGAGTACCCTCAGAGCGTTAACAGTTTGTATATAGAATTGCTATAACATGTAGCTGTGCACCTCCTATTTTGGTTGCAATCACCGCAAAAATAGTACATGAATATATATATATATGTAATAATAAAAGCAAAGGAAATGACGGAATACTGTAGATGCGTGCTTAGATCCATATTGAAGAAGAATTTTGATTGCGTAGTATTTAAAGAACTTGGCAGTCGAGGCAGTTTTAATTCCATTTTTATTTCCAATTGATATTTGTGGCCACAATCACTTGGCACTCTAGTCGTGCCTTTCCACGGAAGATTTACATTTTTGATATTGTTGGCATAGAAAGCAAGCCAGCGAAATTACATCTTAGCACAGTAGAGAGCAAAAGCTGAAGTGCGTAGTTATGAAAGATGAAAGCACGCGAAGAGAAAAGTTTTGGTTTACAATTCGGTGATTGGTCGTCAAGAGGCATCTGGTATTAACGGTTACATAAGATCGCATGATTTATTTGAATGACGCAATGCAGATAAGTTATTACGATTTTAGAATAGAGAGGAAGAATTAATGTTTATAGTTATATTATAATTCTGATTCATACATTTTTATCTTACATATTCCCCCTTCAAAAGAAAAAGGCGTAGCGACAGAGAAGCCTTTTTAAAGAGAAAGAGTAAAAGCAAATGTGTAAAAAAAAAAAAAAAAAAAAAAAAAAAAAAAAAAAAACTGTGTCCTGTAAAGTATAATTTATAAATATAAATTTTTTTAAAATAAATTTTTAATTTTTAGAGTCAAAGGTTCTTGTTATTACAGAATATCACAAAATAAACTTTTACATAATCATTACTTATAATTAAATTTAATGCACATAAATATTTATGATACTCATTTCCATACTGATAAATTATAATTTAACATCATAAATAATAGGATTAAGATTTTCAGAATTTATGGTTTCACCGTTATCATCTTTCATTTACAAATCCTGATTTTACCAAACTGGAAGCCTTGCAATACTTCTAAACAAACATATCCATCAATAGGGCTGTCCTCTTGAGCTAACCAGTGTGTTGCACCTCCTATTTTGGTTGCAATCACCGCAAAAATAGTACATAAATATATATATACATATATATATATATAATTACAAAATAATTGCTTTGAAAACAAAATATAAATATGTCAAGTATTTTCGCGCCTTAAGCTGCTGAAAATTATCAGTAAAGACATAAAGTATGAAATTTAGAACTAATGTTTCACAAAGACCGAAAATTTGAAATTCATAATTAATAAATTTCAAATAATCCTATAACTGCAACAAAGAATTTAAAAAATGTTAAAATCAAAACCTTTAAACAAGCAATACCCCAATTAAAAATTTAACGAAATTTAAAGAAAAAAGAACATAACAGAAGAGAAATTCAGTCAACTTCAAAGCCATATCGTCAGGGGGGAGGAACACTGAAATCAATTGAAATCTCTCTTCTACAAAAATTATTAGAAGATTCTAAATTTCTTAATTTATGTCAAAATATTATATATATATACACACCCAGTCTGTTATTCGGTTTAGTCAGCTCAGTTTTTTTAAATTCTTATATGTTGGTAAATTGTGCATTTTTTGCTTTAAAAATGATTGAATTATGTTGTTCTTATTTTCCGGTTAAGGTTTTTATGCCTTTAGTTAATCTGCATGCAGTAGTTGTAGAATTGTATAAGCACTTAAACAATTTAAAAGTTGTTTAAGTGCGGCTATGCCTAATTTTTTTTTTTTTTTTACCATAGCAGCCATATTTGCTTACATTTGCACCTTCAGTGTTATTTTGCCGAGTGGACCAAAGGAAACTTTTAGCTTTGTGCACCGAAAAATCTGGCTTCTTGCTTGCTGTCCGAATTGCTTGTTTTTGTGTAGAAACTATAATTTTAATTGTAAAATTTTTTTAAAAAATTGTTTTAACTGTATTTGGTGTTTTATGTTTTTCTATACCTTTCAATATTTAATATAGATATTTTGAGTTTTTATGTATTTTTGCCTTGTTACGAAGTGAGAACTGAATTAATTGAATGAGAGCGATATTAATTCAGAAGTCAAACAACAAATTCAGAAGTCAAACAACAAAAATCAGCGTTATACCTACAAAAGAGCGATATCTCTAATGAAATTCGAGGAAATAAGTTTAAATGAAAGGCAGGAAAAAGTGCGTATAATTTAACATTCCATACAAGGAAGTCATGTGTTATACACATCAGATTTTTTTCAATTTGATGCAGAAAATAATACTAACTTCTATATAGCTTTTCAACAGTAAATCTTGAGACGTAGATTTATGAGGAATAAAGATAGTGCTACAAAAGGGATGCTATTAGTTTGAAATAAAGGTTTGTATAACAAATATACATTTAAAAGATACACTTCAGGTTGAGTTAGTAGACTTTTCTCGTTTCATCTTAAGTATTAAATGGTGTTTATACACTGTAAACTCCTTCTTTTCATTAAAAATTATTTATGAAGGATGCATTTTAATATGCTATCATTAATATTAAAGAATACATTTCTAACACATTATTTATAGTAAAATAAAAGTTAAATTACCGTTTAACAGCATCGAGAGCTGCATCATCATCATCTTCATCAGGCATTGCATTCCACAGTTCTCCGGAAGGAACTTCACCGTCTGAGGGAAAAATGAAACATAAGCTATGTAATTAAGAGTTCATGTAGTAAAATTCAGTTCCGATGAAATGCTTTTCATTATCTTATCAGAGAAAAGCAAAACGATGCAATAATAATAATAATAATAATATTTCTCGTGTATTTAAGATTAGAATGATTAACTTGAAATACAGTCCTATGAACCAGCTTTTGCAAATCTTTCTTAATTAAACTAAATTTAATGCTTTTATTTTTAACATCATTATATAAAGCATTTAAGACACTAAAAATGCTCAGTAGCTTTATATTCATAGAAAATTTTGGGAAGACGAAAATTAATATACGGGTACAATACTCATATCAAAGGTAAGGAATTGTTTTTATCAGAACGGATCACACCCGCTATTTCACAACTGGTATTTTGCGCAACATTTTACATATTAAAGATAGTTCTAAACCATAGGCATTTAGTTTCCTTGATTTTCTTTTCTTCTGATGCTTATTTGTAAGAAAAAACAAGATTAAAGACTTATCAGACAACTGAAAAATCTACTTATTAATTAAGAGTAATAAATCACGAAAACTGCATTCAACCGTTGTTTAAAACAGGGTTTATTAACTGTGGGTGGCGACACCCAAAGGAGTCAAGGGACCTGCAGACGGAGGTCGCCAAAAATTTTAGCAGTTTTGATATTTCTTTCACTTATTATCACAATTTTACAATTATCAAATATTTTTACACATTGTATCTGAAATTAGATAAACATGAGACAATGCAGACAAAGAAAAAACCGAAAACGTTTCGACGCATTTCTTTTTATAATATAAACATTCATTTTCCTTGCTTTGCACGTGACGTTGTCATTTCGTCTGTTACTTATTTAAAATTTTCACATTGTTATATGTCTTAAAATTAGAAATTAATGACCTAAAACTGCAATAGTATATTACAGTACGAGTGAAAAAATTGACAGTTTCACTCATGCGAGTGTCGGATATTAGCAATACTTATGGGATCCCACAAAATGTTTGTAAATGTTATGGGGTCCTGGAGGTCGCGAAAAAATCTCAGTGATAAAAAGGGGTTGTGACTGAAAAAAGTTTAAGAAACCCTGGTTTAAAGGAACACCATTCATTTAAATTTAATTTCCCTTTAATTGAGAATAAATTAGCAGTAAATTTAGATTCTTGCTGAGAAAATAACTTTTGCAATAATTCACTTATTTTTATAAAGGTGACAAACATATACCAAACGTAAGTTTTATATTGAATACCAGCCTGAGGATGTCAACGATTACAACATGAAAAGACAAATAAATAACAGACATTTTTAACCAAAATCTGGCGATGATTTCTTTGTTTTCAGTAGATAACATTTTACTGAAATGTAGCAAGTAATAAAATAGCACGCAAAAATATTCTAGCTTGCACAGAAGCATTAACCATAGGCTAGCAACTACCACATATGAAAAATATTTCCAGCATATTACCTCAAAAAATTTAGGCTGCAATGAAGGGGCCATATTCTATAGGGATTTTATAAAGATATTATTATATATTTATTACATATGAAAAAGTTCATGAAATTAACCAGATGATCCAAAAGTATTCAGAACAAATTACTGTTCAACTGATTCACTCAGCCATTGTTAAGTAATACATAAATAAATTACTTAACATTAAATAATTTACAGGGTATCTTCTTGGGTGGAAGTTTCAGGGAGAACTTTCTACATTTTTTACTTATAACAGATGAAGAGCACAAATATATTATTAACCTTTGATCACAAGATGAAAATATCCAATGATTTTATCTATTCAGCCTATAACTATTTCATTGCTTAATTATTTGTCAACTTTGTTCATTAATAAGCCATTAGGAAGTGAATTTGGTAATACATGCAAGGTCTTTGAGATCTTTGAGATTCTCTGTTGCATGTTAAGGTCTTTGAGATCCTTAAGATTCTCTGTTGCATGTTAAGGTTTTTGAGGTAATTTTAACGTTATTTTGAAACTTTTTCAAATGTTCTAAAACTAGCAGAATTTAAATAAAATATTATTAAGTGTAAAGTACTAATGAAGAAAAATTTTAAAAAGGAATATAATGAAAATTCATTACTATTTCATAAATGTAAACAAGATGACTACGATGCAATTAATGAAAGGACAACAATTTTGTATACAGGCTAATATTACATTTTCAAGCTCAATTAAGCATATTATTCAAACTTATTTCAGTCTTCTAAGCTTAGAAAAGTATTAAATTTGCAAAACAATTTATATAAAACACTATAATTAATTCATTACATATCGAATTTAAAGCAAAATTTAATATAAAGTTTTGTTCGGTGATTTAGTACAAATTCGAAAAGAAAACATAAAATTAATGCTAAATTTTTTTGACTAAATTTATTTTACAAAATTTTCGTAAGAAATGTACATTTTGGTCAAAAGGAGAGATTATTTCTTTTTATACTAATTAGGATAAAAATATTAAATTTGTTCCGAATAGATAGCTTGATGATACATATTTAATATAAGAAGGATGGACAGAGAAGTAAGAGGGATAATAAGTATACATAATATATTTACAACCACTTAACACTGAATGCTGTTTAATACTAGGGTAAGGTTTTTAATACTAACGTCGGATTTTGATCAAATTAAATACTGATGCATTTACCTTATTTTATTTTGTAAATGATGGTTAAACATTTTTCTTAATGAAAATATTACAATCTGCGATAAGTTATGACAAAAATATTTAGGAAGTGAAAATTATACATTGTTTATTTATGTTCTCACATAACGCAAAATTTAGGGAAAGCAAAACATCAAATAAATTTACAGGTGCTTAGATAATTTCACTCCATTTCAGAAGCGTTGAAAAATGGAAAATTGCGTGTTTCTAGGCGCCATAAACAAATGGGTACAGTTAATGGGTACAGTTCAAAAACTAAGATTGATGACTGAGGCTAGTAAAAACCGTACTTTTTGCGGGTCGTATAAAAAGAATAAAAAAATAGCACTTTATCTCAGCTATTAAAAAAAAAAACAATTTTAGATTATTCTTCCCCCCGATTGCTTTTCACCGCCTCTTATGTTGTTTTCAGGAAGAAAAAAAAAACTCACTTTAAGAAATTTATAAACGCTTTTCGTCTCGAAAATTTTTATTTTGTTAAATGTAACAAAATATATATGTTTCTTTTTTATAAAGGTCCTTTTTGAGAATTTGTTTTTGACAAATACTTTCAACAATTACGACGAGATAAAAAACGCTGTTTTTTAATTGTAGATATATTGGGTCATATAAAAAGTCTCCGTGGTTTTTTGCCACTAGATGGTGTTGATGCCTATATATCCGGCAGTCGTCCGATTGTCTCCACAGCTAACTGCTGTGAATTGTCTCAAACGAACATCTGCTTAAAAGGTGCCATTCAGCTTTCATTGTTTATGGAGATAATTTTCTAATTCGTTGCTCCTGTAAAAAGTTATAGTGAACTGAAAATGAGCGAAATATCTGAAGAAATACTCTATGTAATGCTTTTTGACTATAAAAAAGGTAATAAAGCTGCAAAAAGACGCCGAAAAATTTGTGAAGTGTACGTTGAGAATGCTGTGAGTGGACGAAGGACCCAGGAGTGGTTTGCTCGAGTCCATTTCGAAAATTTTGATGTCAAAGAATTCGGAACTGTCCATTGAGCTGCTGCAATCTGGCGAAACCGTCAATTCGGCCCTGTATTGCGCACACCTCGACAGTATGAACGAAGCAATACAGAAAGAGCGACCAGAACCGACCAAAAGAAAGGAAGTCGTATTCCATCATGACAATGTGCAACCACACACATCTTTGATGACTCGGAACAAATTGACGGAACTTAATTTCGGAACGGGAAGTTTAGATGCATCCACCGTATAGCCCGGAACTCGCACCGTCTGACTACCATTTGTTTCGGTCTCTGCAAAACTCTCTTTATGTTGAAAAATTGGCCGACCGAAGGGCCGATGAAAATCACTTGGCCAAGGTTTTCGACGATAAACCACAGAAGTTCTACACCGATGGAATTATGAAGTCACCCGAAAAATGACAAAAGATCAATAGGTACTTGGTTGAAATTGATTTTTAATAAAGTAAATTTGAGTTAAAAATGTACCAAAAAACCGCGGAGAGTTTTTATATGGCCCAACATATTATACTGAATATGACCTTCTGTGATCGGTATAGTGATTAGTGATGTTAGCTCCCACATCCTGGGTTCCAAGTCCGAACTCCGAAGAGGCTTATAGCTACTTGATATTTAGTTAGATTTATTGATAAATAATAAAAATTTTTTTTCGAAGATATGACTGGGGATTTTTTACGCATTATTTTAGTCCTCGATGTGTGGCTTCCGAACAACTTTGGTTCGGAAGATAAGTTTTTAATTTTTTTAATTATACATATTTATTTACAATTTTTATTAATTTTTCCTTATTAATATATTTATTATTACTTTTTGTTACATTATTTTTTTGTGGGGAATCTTTCTTTTTATTACACGTTTTTTTCCTCTAACAACAAATTATGGAAAATATTTGGTAACGACTATTCTAGAAAAAACGTTTAAAAAATTAAAATCACTATTAGTTTATTTGTAGTCAGAAGTTGCTTGGTTGAAGTAGTCGCATTCATTGCTCGATATCTGCAGTGAAAACGAAGCAAAAACAATAAAAGCAAAGTAACAACAACAATAATCGTAAAACTTCCAGTGTTCAGACTTTTTCCAGCTTTTAATGATGTTGATCACGCCAGTGCAGGATAATACTATTCTAATTTTCAAATTATTTATGCTAGATATTATTCCAACTTAGCGAAGTTTTGATACACGATATTCCTACTTCACGATGATACAAAATCATACTCCAGATTTTGGATTTTAATTTTTTTCCCTGTGGCGAACAGTATGTGGCACGATGTTTTATCCGACAAAAGTACAGACAGGCAGGTACAGAATGAATTTTCTCGTTTGCTCCAGGGAAATT